TGTTCTGAATTAAGATTTGTTTCAATATGTGAACTGCAAAAGCCATAAAAAAACATTTAAATACTTTTTACCAGTAAGTAAAGAATGAAAAATCAGTTCACAAGAACTCTGAGAGAGAATTGTAGCACTCAAAAATATTTTGCCTCTTACATCTGTTTTGTAGATTCAGTGTACATAAGAATAGTGTTTGCATGTTGGTTGTGCAGTGGGGACAAAAATGCATACTCTTTTTGAAGCGTGTGTTGTATTCTTATTTACAAAACTCATTTGTATTGAATATGAAACATTACATGACATTGTCAGTTGTATACAGTGTGAAATGTAGGTAATGTCTTAAAGAAAAGCTCGGTTTAGATATGACGTTGCTGAGTTGAAGAATCAGGTAGAGATTTTCTTACTTTGCTTAGGAATTGATTTCCAGTAGTTTTCACTTGGGTCCTGCCACTTGGGTCCCACATTCTTGTCCCCAAAAGGTTCTGTTGGAGTCAGGTACTCCTAGCGTGGTAGTACTGCAAGACTTGTGAAGATGGGATGCCTTTTCTTGACAGCTTTATGATCCAATTTAAAACCTGGGATTTTAAACACGGGGAGGCAGGGGCCAAAGTAGCGAGAGAAAAGTGAGGCTAAAGATAGTCGTTCTGTGTATGTATGAACTTACGTCAGGCTTCTGGAATGCAGCTGGAACTTGAGATGCTGTGGGATGCAGTGGAAGGAGGGCTGAGGAAATGTTCAGAAACTGTAGAGGTGTGGCCTGGCTGGTACTGGGGGCATTCATCAGCTGCTGGGAACAACTGGGGAAGTTTACACATTCTGCATTGAAGTGGAGGAGTTGGCTCCACAGCGAGTGTCGCATCTCCCTGATGTACTGCTCGGCCAGGACAGCATCCTCCTGCATGGCTGGGTTCTGAGATTTTGTTCTTGTCCAGCTGGCAGGGAGCACAGCACAGAGGAAAGGGATGATGGCAGGATGATCTGAAGACTTCAGTGTGATTTCCGAGGAGGCAGTTCTGTGATTTAAGCTGGTCCAATGATTTATATTTCTTTTTCTTAAGTAAATAACTTCTTCTAGCTTAGCTTCTGAGCTGGTTTAACACAGAATCAGCTGAGTGCCACTGCTGGAACAACTAAGAGGGCTGAAGCCAGAATCATGGCAGGACTGACCTAGTTCAATTTAAGCAGTTGTGAAACCGTAGCCTAAAGGAAAAGAGTTATTTTACTTGAAGCCACTTCTAAAATACATTTTGGAAATTCATAGTAGTATTCTTAAAGATAAAAATAGTAGGGGTGAATCTGGAAAGTCTAAGGTGAAGGCTGCTCAGAGGATGCTAATGTTGCTTCAGTTAATGATGCGTGGTATTGCTCACTCCTGCAGATGTCAACAGTGCTCTTCTGCATCTTACAAATAAGATGTCAGTGCAGCGTAAGAAGTTTCAGGAATTGTATCTCAAGTCTTGTGGACAAGATTGCTTGTAAAACTCTGGTGTTATTTAATTGCAGTTTACTGTGTTATTCTCTCATTTTGCTGAATTTAACCTTGTATTTTTTGTGAAAAAGCAATTTCAAAGGTAGGAAACTGTGTAGAAAACAAAAACCAGAATATATTTTTGAATCGGAGAAAAGAATAAGGAGAAAGGATGTTGATTTTGTCTCCTTATAGACCTGTGTGTTAGTACTTCTGCATTAGACTTTCAGTGTAGTAGGGTTTGCCTACCTCTGGCTAATGAATTGGCACTCGTACTGCAATACTCCTGTTCTTAAAGCTTGTTGTATAGTAAAAATATTTACAAGGAACGCTGTGTAGCACAAGAAATATGAAGCACTAAAGATTAAATAGGAACTGCAGGCTTATTGGAAAAAGTATTTTGCAATATTGAGATCAGGTAATAAATCTTAGATCAAGGTGATCTGTTAGTTATCCAGCCAGTTTTCCTCTCCATAGTTACTTTTATTTTTAAGGTTTTTCATTAAAGGGGTATTCCATATCTAGTTTATATTCCACCTTTCATTACCCCCTGTTAGAGATTTTTGCCTGTTCCAAGTGGTGGATTTCTGAGTCTTAATGTTACCAGGAGACATTTGGGAAATGTTCCTTTTCGTTGCCCATTAAATCCGTATTTTGATAGTCTCAGGAGCATTTTGAAATGGACACTTATGTAGACAGACCATTTTCTAACTGATGCTGTGGTAAGAAAGCTCTTTTAGAAGTACAAGGAACTGATCGTGGAGTAACTTTGCTGTCTGTCCAGTGAGTGTGTAACTGGTTGGAGAGGTTTGTCACAGGTCTCTTTCTGCCTGTATAAAAAGTTTCACCTTGTTTCATGCTTGGCACAGCTTGGGATTCTGGCTCTTCTTTAGTTAGAACAGCTGTTGTTTCAGCTTTTAAGGCCTTCCAAGTTATGGTCTGGTATTTTGGTCAGTATTTGTAGAATTGTATAGCACTCTGTAAAGGCAGTAGAACTTTGAATGGAACAGAGTATTGGTATTCAGGATTGTGACAATACCATACAGTGGCAGGACTGGTTTTCTGTCGTTTGCCATAAAACAGAGTCTCATGGGTGACCGTTATAAACTTGGTCTCAGTAAGATTTCTGCAGCCTGATTTGTAAATAATAAAATCTGAGCATTTGGTTTCTGGATCATTGTGGCTTAGATTGATTCTTGCCCTTGAAATCCAGTATGACCAATAGCTTGTCCAGTGGCAAATCCTGTCAGTAAGGGCATATTCTGGGGTCCTTACTGTGTGCGTGTTTCTAGGTGTAAAGAACAGCTACAGCAGTATGTTCGTTGTGGGCAATCCTTTCATACGGCAACCTTTGAACCATAAATATGGAATATGGCTCATCTTGTAAGATGGTATTGGCTTTCCTGCTTCAAGGTTTAGGGCCTGGTGTCTAGAAATTGTTGCCTGTTTGGAACTGCTGGAATCTGTGCATGTGGCAGTGAAAAGGTGTTTCCTTACAGAGAATTGAGTTTGGTTTCTTCCTTGATTTTCCAGAATCTGAATTAATATAGTAATAGTAGCACACTTTGTAAGTCAATAGTACTTTCTTGGGAATCTCAAGAGAAGTGATTCATAACTTTCAGCTACAGGTAATGTTAAATTTGGTGAGGATCAGCCTATGGGTTCATTATAAGTGGTGCGCTGACGTAGGCTTCTTGGGGAGCAGAGCTTTTTATTTTCTGTGGAAGGAAGCCTTGTGCTTAGCAGAAGCGTGATTCAAAAATTACTTTCTGTGAGTTTGGTTACTGTGGCTCACTTAGCTTGTGATCATAACCAGTGAAAATGTATTTTGGCTGAATGCAAAATACATAGAGGGGACCAGGTTTTGAAACACGCTGCATAGCAATTCTTTCATTGTGTGCTTTTTAAGTCTTTATTTACTTTTGAGCTCTCCTTATTAGGATAGTGGTGAAAGGGAAACCAAACAGCTTTAAGATAATAAATGAGGTACCATATTGCAGCATAGATCAAGCAGGATTTGTGATTTAGGGCAGTTCAGGTTTCTCTGTGTAGAAGAGACAAAATTAACAAAAGTGAAAAAAGTGAGTTAAATTTCATAACTCCTGTGAAGGTCATTTACAGAAGTGAATAACAAAAGTGCAACCCATCCACTTGTGCATTAATTAACAGAAAGCTGTCGTCACCACTGAGCTGGCTCTTTCTGCCTGGCGCTCTTGTCTCCTGTAGGGATGGATAGTGCAAACTGAAAATCACCTGGCTACTACTGTCCTTGTTTATCTTTTCGTACTAAAAATTGTCATCTCTACTGTGTTAAGAGCGAAGGAGAAGCTCTGAAGTCTTTAGTCTTGTGAAGATGCCATCTGAATCACTGGACTTGTATCCTTTTCTTGTCTTTTCTTCTTTTTTTTCCTTCCCTTGTCCTAGTTTCAAATACTTGCTTTGTGGCTTTCTTTTATTTCCTCCTTCTCTTGAAGGTGATACTTTCATAGTCCTCAAACCAGAAAGGCTTCTGTGGTAGAAAGCAGCAAGCTTCTGGATAAAATGGCATAGCAAATAGAGTGAAGACATGAATAAATTTAGAAAACAATGTTCGTATTCCAACACAGACGAATCCATTTCAGAATCTTTATGTTGAAAAATTACTGGTGCAATCTAGTGAATCTTTCCAGTAAAGTTTACTGTTGTATGGTGTGGTTTTAGACCTTTTATTCCTTGTTCAGCTTCTTTTTTGTCATGGGTAAAGAACTCTTTGATGTTCGTAAATGTCCTTTCCAAAAATAGATTGGGAGCAGAGAAGTATTCAGTGGCTCTTGAGTCAGGCTCATGTTAAGTCAGTGGGAAGTCATTCTGTCTGCTCTAATGGGGTTTGGCTCAACCTCACGTCATTGTGCATTAGCCAAGCCTCAGCTACTACCACACAGGAATTCTCCAAAGAAGAAATGGTTTATTTTCTTTTCAAATGAAAAAAATTGCACACTTTTTGCAGGGTGTTTCTGTCACCCTTCGATAAGTAAACCCTGGTTGCTATACATTTGAAATGAATACTGATCCTGCAAACTGTTATGCTTATGGAAATAGTTTTTATTGATGTCGAAAGACATGAAAAAACTCATTACCTGAGTGAGGATGTGAAGAATCAGGGCAGCCTCTGACTGTTTCACAGAAAGGAGAGGACCTGTTTTAGTTAGATATTTTCAATTACGCTGTTTAGAAATTGGGAGGTATGTCTTGATAAAGAAAAATTCAGTGTTCTTCCCGTTGGTCAGTGGAAGATGCTTCTAACGTGTGGGAAGAAACTGGGATGTTAGATACTTGATCTTTGAGAAAGGAAAAAGAATAGCAACTTTAAGATTCACTGGACGCAGAAACAAAATGAGTTGGAACATAGTTGGAGTTTCAGAATACCACTTCCACCCCACCTTTAATGTAAAGGATACACTCTCTGAAAAATAGAAAAAGTAATGGTTTTCTTCGTATATGTTAACTCTAGTGAGCTGTGCCTGGCTAACATTTTTCTCATCTGTTTTCTAGGTTTTGTAAAAGACACCGAATTAAGTCAAATTCCAGTGTTCCGTGTGTCCCGAAAGACTTGTTGATGATGTCAGAGTTAGTTCTTCCACAGTTCATCTTTAGTCTTATTCAGCACTTGAGAGAGGGCTATAATGAGCCTGGTATGTTGAAATTTGCATGTATCTAGCATATCTTACCACGCTGCTGTCTCTTGCTTTGCAGTCTGTGAAGACACACTACATGACTACATGAATGCTATCTATAGTTCATATCCTTAAATTTTGTGCCTCTTTTCCTAACTAAATTGCTGCCTGGCTAGGTGATTTGATTTTGTTCTCTGCTGAAGAGCTTCTTAGCTGTGTTTTAAGGGACACCTATCATTGTGTTGAGCTCCTCCAGAAAATGAAACCAGGATTAATCTGAAACTTGTACATGTAAATTTTAGAGCATTATGAACATATAAATTAATTTCTTTCATGGTAGTCATGGCTTTTCTGCCTTGTGAAGGTCTTGGCCCAGTTACATTACATGTACGCCAATAGTTCTTGTTATGTGGTTTTCAGCTCTAGATCTGCCATCAGAGAAGGACCTTCATAAAATCCTCCAGGTTTTGGAGCCTCATGTTTCCTTTCTAGAAGACTTGACAAAAATGGGAGGAGCAATGCGATCAGTTCTTACCCAGGTTTTGACTAGCCAGCAGTTCTACAAAGATCTTAGCTCTGGTACGTTTGTGTTATTTCTAATAATTAAAAGTTCAAATTGTGAAGACTTTAAGGGTATAAGTTTTGATTTTTCACTAAAGTTTCTTCATGTTTTTATTTGACTTCTCAAAACCCAGAAAAATGCATGTCTTTAAGGATATAGTTTTGTTTGTTGATAGAAGGGGGGGTGGGCTTCAGGAGCGACTAGAAACATTTTTTATTAAGACCTGTAAGAGTAAACCTCTTGTCTTCTGTGTCCAAGATCACCGTATAAAGATACATAATTTCAAAAGAGTTTTTATAATAAAGCCATTCTCTTCAGTGAAGTGAACACAGCAGCTTAGTACTCCTAAATAAGGGGTATCAACCTTACTCAAAGTGGAATATGTCTAACTTATTTCGGGATCTGCTCTCACAGAGGTTACTGCAGGAGACCTGAATGGCAGGCGGCCATTCTCTGTTCTGCACTTCAATGCAAAGCCTTTTTTCTTTTTTCTTAAACACCCCTCTAAATTATTTTTATTCCATCCTCTACCAACTCACAATGAATCTGAAAATGTTGGGCAGTCACTATTAACGCCAGAACACCTAGTGTAAATTAACTCCATCTTCTTTTCTTGTGATTAGAAGGTGTCTTTTCTGAGTCCTTTGCATACTTCTTTTGCATAGGTATGGAACAAATAATAATTACTGTAGTAATTACTGTACTGAAGTTGTCATAACTTGCTTGGGCAGGACCTAGTTGAACAACAGGCAATCTCCAAATCTTTATTTGTAAGAAGAAACACTTAGGAAAGCTGCCTCAGGGACTGTTGTCTTTATTCTGTTTCTGTCCTGTTTTCCTCTCCCATTTAATAATATTTGTATGGGAGAAATGTAATGACTTCTCTTTTCCTGTATGCGATGGATTTCCTGAGATAGAAGAATGGAGAGGGAATGGGCAGTAAGGCATTCTTACCTGGACTCTTGAAAAGGAGAATGTGTGTCTGGGTAGGTACAGTTTCTAGATAGGGAAAGCAAAGAAAGGCATTTTAGAGCAAAACTCACCCTTCTGACTTTGGATGTAAAAGGTACACAGCTCAAAAGGTGCATCGTGGTCCTGTTTTCATTTCCTTAAACACTTGACACTATTTGCTTCTCTAAAGTAGATTTTTCCCTTATATAACAAATGTGTTGGGTTGGTTTTTTTAGTCCATTTCTTTGTGGAAGGTTTTCTATCCTGAGCATGACTTTTCTTCATGAAGTAGTTGAAATAATGGTATCTTTATGAGTAGTCTCCGTTAATTGCAGCTGTCAAAACTTGAGCTTTGAAAGAAAAATTTCTATCCTGAGCATGACTTTTCTTCATGAAGTACTTGAAATGATGGTATCTTTATGAATAGTCTCCGTTAATTGCAGCTGTCAGAACTTGAGCTTTGAAAGAAAAATTCTAAATATTAGAAATTATGTATGGTGTCTTACCATTACTATTTTTCTGTTGGTTTACTTTTTTCCCATTGGAATTGTAGGCCCCTGTGATTTCTGTCCAAAACTAACCATTTTGAAATATCAAAACAAGTCCTTTTTTTTTTTTTTTTTGCTGTAGTGTTAATGGTGACAGTGCTGATAAAATAGGAATGAAGTGCATAATTTAGAAGAAAATATTGTGTTGCAGGGGAAGAACTGAGAAGGTTTCTGGTCTTTTGGGTTTCATTTCATCAGTTAGAAAACTTTAGCTTCTACATCTCATAATTGTAGAGCTTATTGAAACCAGTGTTAAACTGTAGAGCTTATTGTGGACCATTTTTTAGATGGCTTGTATCAAATGTGAAGTATACGAACAGGTAGCCGCTGCTGTACTTTAATGCGGTTTTACCTATGTATTCAAGGTGTTGGAGAGAATGCGTGTGCAAAGAAAAGTCATGAAAAGTACCTCATAGCTTTGAAAGGCTCTGGACTGGCGTTTCCCGAGGATAAAATTGCGTGTGGTATGCAGGAGCAAGGAGCTGGAACCAGCACGTTAGCAGTTCAAGGTTTGTGTAGAACAATATTTAAGAGAAGACTTGGTTATTGCTGGTTTTTATCTAAACTGTTCTTTAAGTTTATTTTAAAAAAAACACAACCCAAATCTTAATGAGACTTAAGGAATTGCCTGTTATTTAGTACACCACCAAACTACAGGACTCATTTTAATTTTATCAAGAAAGCTGAACATATTGACCTTTTGTTGCTAATATACAAAGCATCGTTTCCCAGTCATAGCATCAGTGGAACCTGAGTAGGCAAGATGAAATTGCTCGCAGTGGAATTTTGTCACTGCAACTAAGTTAAGCCACCTGTTTTTACAAAAGTGCTGTGGTTTTGGTTTGGATTTTTTTGATCACTGAAGGCTGTCAGGTTTTTTTACAATTTCTGAAAGAACACATCTCCATTAACTCGGTATGTTGAAGTTCTGCAATGGAACGTACTTGCAAATTCCTTATTTTATGTTGCTTGGAAGTCTTACTCCAACTTCTCAGTCCGGTGCTGTGTATCTTTTAAAGAAAGTTAATGTAGTGTTTCATTTCATACTGGCTCATTAAATATCATAAAATGCTCTTTTCAGTATAAGATTTATGAAAGAAATCTGATTTTGTTTTTTTTCTTTCAAAAGGTTTAGCAGGTGCTACAGCCACATCAGGACAAGGGGATTCTTCAGATGAGGTGAGACTGTTTTTAAAGACTGTAATGAACTGCAGTGAAATATTAGAATGCTTGCAGCCAGATCCCACAAACCTTAACTCTTTTACCTGCCACATATTCTCTCCATTTTACTAATTAGAAATAATGGCGATAAAAAGGAATGGATCTCGTGCCTTCGATTTACTAAAGACCTCTTGAAAAATCCTTAGTTTTCCTAATGCTATTTCAGTTTAATTTATGTAATGTAGAAGAAACTTGTCTAGGTAGTTCAAAAGTCAGTAGCAAGTAAGTTGAGCTTGATTAAAGCAAGCTTAAAGCGTGTGATGCTGTGAACGGTGTTAGATTTTGGCAGTTGAGAATCCAGCTGAACTGGTGATAGCAGCAGTGAGAATTTCTCTGTAGACAAATTCCCATGTGTAGACTTGACCTTACTTTCCAAACACATTGAGTGGGAGTACAAAGGAGGGAATCTCCTTTTAGATTGAGCTGCAATAGATAAGTGGAATTACCGAGGAAAGTTAAGTTCTGATAAAGTTACTTATTTTTTTGATAAAGTAAGATAAAGTATCTTATTTTTTTGCTCTACTCTTTAGAACCTGATTTCAACTAGTAAACCTTAGCAGCCATTCTGGTAGGGTGGTGTAACAAATTTTAAGTAATGTATAGTTCTTCACAGGATTTTTGCTTGCGTTGAATTCTACATGAACAAGTACTGAAGTAAAAGCAATTGTTTGTGTATGTCTAGAACAGTTGTATGACTTGTTTGCCTCTGTCACGAGCACAACAGCATCTGTTACGCTTTCTGCAGTGCTATTTATAATTTGGCATTTTTCGAAGTATTGCTTGTTGATTTTAACCGTGGCTTGACAACAGCTTTTTTTAATGCTGTATTATACTCTTATAGCAGAGTAAAACTGTTCTAATTAAGAAATATGACAAGAGTACAGTTTTAACTGAATTTTCTTCCTCTGATATTTAAAATAAATCTAGGAAGGTTAATGTTGTTTCTTACCAAGTAAGTCTTAAAGGTAGAATTCTTTCTCAGATGAAAAGCTAGATTAAAACATTTATGTAGGCTACAGATTAGAGCAGGGAACTCAATAGTTTGAGAAGTTTTGCATAGTTGATTATTTAGTTTCACTTCTACAAGAGTAGATGGCTCTAAGCTAAAAGTGATTCTGAAGGATGGATGCATCCTCAGATGTGTGGTGTGGGCTGTTTAGTTTTGTTCCCTCTGCCTATGAAACAGTAAAGGCTGACCTGTACTTTACCTTTCATGTCATTTGTGTTCCATCCTGTGGGATTTTGGAGAGAACTCACCATTAGTTTCTTTTATTGGCTTTTCTTCCTCAGGTTTTCCTTTATGCAGAAGGAGAAAAAAAAGGGCCCTTTTTAAACCTGTCCTCATCTTCAGGAGGTTTCTATATTCCAAGGAATCAAATAAAACCCAGTCCATGAATGCTTTTACCACACCGACAAATAAACCTTTTTGTGTTGGTCGTCTCTGGCTGCCTTTGTAGTTTATTGAGCACTGAATGCCTTCTTAGTTATGCAGTTATTGACTCCAACTGCTGTTTAAAGTAGTCATACAAAAATCTGTGTATAGTACCTAATGTTAAATGAAGTTTATCTGAATTTACAACAGATGGGGCACACCTTAGGCATATTGCTGTTATGTGAAGTAAATCTACATAGATGTTTGCTTTTACCCAGGTACATTATCCGATGGGTAAAAAGAAGGTGTTCTGCATTTGCTTACTCATTCTCTTACTCTTTATCCCTGGGCTTGGTGGACACCGTGTGACCTAGCACTCACTATTTCAAGGCTGTTAAAACTCCTGCACTTGACATTAAGATTTAATCCTAAAGTAATGGAAGCCAACTGTCAAACGTTATTGAGGGGAAGAAAAAAAGGAGTTCTCAATAAAGTGTTTCTCATAAGTCACTGAGTTTTTCTTTTTAGTGAAATCACTTCAAAAGTTGCAATGAAGACTGCCGTATTTCTGAATTTTTCTCATACTGCAGAAGGGGAAATTCTTTTTGTTTGCCAGAGCAGTAGCATTGGAGACTAGAGTCTGGCACTTTGATCACAACTTGTATACCCAAATGTATTGTTTTCAGTTTAATCCGACTCTCTGGATTAACTGAGACCACTGAAGAAGTCTTGAGGCCTCCAGCTATCAACTTTCTAGCTACAGGAATTTAGACTGCTTTTCTTCAAGGCAGGAGACTTAAATTAGAGAGTCCCGCAGTTCATAGTAATACCTTAGCAGGTCTGATTTTTGCTTTAGAGTACTTGACACCTCTGATGGGGGAGCAGGCAGGGGCAATATCCCAAGAACTGACTGGATCCCGATTGGAGTACAGCCATAGCATGTGTTTGCAGAGTGGTGTGTCCATCTTAAAATGAGCTTTCAGATGGAGGTACTGAAAGGGTGGAAAAATTCAGACCTTTCCTTAGCACAATGCTTTTGGTCAGTCCATAGGTAAAAAAACACGAATAATCTTTCTCCCCAAGGAAATATAGTCACCTTTTGAGTGTCGGGTTCTTTATCATTCTAGCAAAGTTTGAAAGTAAAATCTGGCATTTGCTTAGAGGAAGAGGATATTGATTACTTATTTGTAGTAGTAGATATCTGCATTAATTTTCTCTCATTTTATTAGATCAGGTAGGAATGGTTCTTTCCATTGTTTCATTAGGAATATAATTGTTAGTAAAGATCCATGCAGCATTATGTCACATTCTTTTTTAACACCCAGTGTTAGATTTTATAAAGTGGTGGCGATGATGCTTTTAACTTGCGTTTTGGAACATTTGCTCTTTTGCTTGCAGTGTCTTGAAAGCTTCAGATGGCAGGTGCCTGCCTAAAGTGTTTCAATTATTCTGTAGGGAACAAGCAATTAGAATGGGCCTCTTAAAGATGTAAAAAATACTTTATTCTTGGTTCAAAACTTTATATTGATTAGAAAGTGTCTAGCTAATTGTCTCAGTTGCTGAATTTAATAGCCAATGTGTTGGCTGATATTATTTTAGGGAACAAAAAAACCGCAAACCCTACAGATGAATACAATGAAACCTTGGATGTACCACAGTTAGAAATCTTATGGTGTTAAACATTTTTGTAGCAATCAGTTTCAGAAATCAAAGCAGGTCACCTTACAAAATTTAACTAGATTAAGATGTCTGGACTTGTAGATGATAATGTTGCCTGCAGGGGGAATAAAAGCTATCTAAAGAATTGTGATTTTTCTAATGAGTTGCACAGAGTCCTTGGTTCCTGTCAATAGCAGAACTGTTTTTCTTGTAAGAGTATATTCAGGGCTTTTCTGTTCTAACTTGATCGTTGAACCAGAAGTTTGAGAGCATACTGTCTCTTGGCAGTAAAATTCTAAATACACAATTATCGATTTTGTTTGAACTCTTCCCCTACCCCAGGAGGACCAGGATGGTAGCCAAGGTGTGGGCAAGCGCAAGAGGGTGAAACTAAGCAGCACCACCAAAGGTATTTATAAAGTACTGATCTCCGTTTATCGTATTTGCTTTATGTCTTTCTTAAAAATTATCTAGGGTATTCATTTACTTCCCAAGCACTGCAGTGCTGCATGTGGCAGGTATTAAACAGTAAAGTCTGAAAATGAATAGCAAGTGAAATTGTGGTAATTGGCAACGTTGATTTCCCTTGAGTGAGTGCCACTGGCTGGGACTCTGTCTGACCAGTCATTCTGTCACCTTCTTGTCGTAAGTTGACCTCTCAAAATGCATTCCATTTCACTGTGTGGCTGGCAAGGTTGCAATACAGCTTGGCAAACAGGTTTTAGAAGTATTTGTTCTTAACAATTCTGTTTCATTATGTCACTGTACAGTGTGATTGTATTCTCAGCCAGGCAAGAATGACTGTCTGGTTCTGGTTGGTCTTTCTGTACTGTTCTAATCATTTTTAAGAAAAGAGAACTTGAATGAAATCTCCTTTGAAACCAGTCCAGTGTTTTCCTAGGTTGAAATTAGTCTTTGCAATTTCTGGTCCACCATGAAGAACACTCGTGTTGAGGTCAGTGGAAGTTTTAATTCAAGAATGACCGTAGGCTAGAGACAAGGTTGCCCTGTCCTATGCTTGTTCTTGACATGTTTATGTGCTAGAAAGTGTTTAAGTTATAATAATATTTAAACTCTATTATTAAATAAAGAACAGTTCTTTTTTAAAATGTGAGTATGAGGAGACACATAGGAAACACAAAGAAGTTGCAGGCCTTGAGAAGAGAACAATTCAGGTGGAAAAAACTGGTGATAGTCGGGATAAAATTTCTGGAAAGGCTTTGGAATGAAGGTTTGGAACTTGGATTTGAAATGTCAGGGTTCATGAAGTCAGTAAAAAGGCATGAAGGTGTTGTGAGGAGTCTGTGAAAGTAAGATTGATGGTTTCAGGTGGTTTCAGATGGAAGGAAAAAGATTGGGAAGCTGGAAAAGCAGGGATCGGAATGTTTTGGCAAGGGTGTTGTTAAGAGTGGTCTTGGACGTGGTGTGTGAAGCATTGTGGCAGAAAATAATAATGAGGAAGAAGTGGTCATTTTGAAGAAATGCAGGAAACTTACAGATGTCCCAGGAAAGCTCTCTTACTTATCTTTTAGACAACCTGACAGCATCTAAATTTTAAGTAGGAGTCAGGTAATGCAAGGAAAAAAAATGCTGGTTTTCAGCTGTGTAATAACTGATTATGGGATACAGGTAGGGAGGAAGCTCGGGTTTAGAAACTGCCAGATCTGAAAACCAACATCAGCAGTGGGATTTCAGGAAAAGTGATACTGTAATTCAACATTTCATTTCCCCCCAGGATTGTAGTCTTCCCCCTCTGTGGCATCACAACATGGACTGTGCTCTTGATGTTGATAGCTCCTAATATCAGCCCCAGAGGAGGGAGTCTGCCAATGGGGGAAGGGTAAGTATCTGTTTTTATTAAATATTGAATAGTTTTCTGAAGTTTTCAGTATTCATATTTTATGTCCAATAGGGTATAAAATAAGAGTATGAAAAGAAAATTTTAGAAAACTGAGTATTGAATAAAAACAGATTTACCTTTTCCATCTGAGCAGACTCCCTGTCCCATCCTAGGAGTCCAGAGGGTTATTTCTGTACTGGGGATATCTTGGAATACTGAGACTCGTATTCCAGAGAGATGTTTACAACAGTCTTGTGTGGCACTAGAAAATAAGGTTTCTTTGAAGAAGATACAGGTTTTATGCTAAGGTTCACTGTTACAGGTACGGGACTGAGTATTGAGAGAATTTTTATTTTACTTTGTTTCAAAACCTGCATCCATCTGAAATACCTGATATTTAAGACAATTTTAAACCCACAGTCACTGCTTTGTTGTTGTTGTTGAAACAAATTTAGAATCGTGGTGCTTTTCATGAGAGTGGGAACGTTAGTCCCAGTGTTCTTGATAAATTTTCCAAGGTGGGTAAGAGCATTCTGCCTACTTAAATCCTATAGCAGATATAAGTGGATATATATTCTTCCATCACTGCCTGAAACTGCTGCATAAAGAATTTGATAGGCACTGTTCAGCCGTGATACACAGAATCATAGAATCAATGGCTGGAAAGACCTTTTGAGATCATCAAATCCAACTGTTACCTGTCTCCACCATGCCCACTTCTAAATCACGTCCCTGAGCACCATATCTGGATGCCTTTTAAATACATCCACGGACAGTGATTCCACCACTTCCCTGGGCAGCCTGTTCCAGTCAGAGGACGCTGGACATCAGCAACAGAGGAGGTGGTGTGTCACTTGTCTCCACGCCCGGTGTTCTCGCTCAGGGGCAGATGGCATGTACCTCAACCTGTGCTGTCTGTTCTGTGGACAGCGGCCTTCAGTCTCCATGGCTAACAAGCTTTCCTGGGCAGTAAAATCACATACACAATTTCTTAGCAAGAGACAAGGAAGAGAACATAAGTGATCATTGTGTGTTTGCTGCAGTAGGTGATGTGCAATGCTTTGCACAATATTTTAGTATTAAAATATCTTTCACGTCTCTGTGAAGATATTTTTTTATTTTGACAGTTGTGGAATGTATTGAATAAAAGATGTTCTAGTTGTTGTGTGGCTTGTTAGAGTCTTGAGGAGATCTCTAAAATTTAAATTCTTTCTTTCTCATGATCTTTTGCAATCCTTGAGGTGTTTTGGGCTGATTGGCTGAGTGGGGAACTCTGGCCTTTGGTAATGGTGGAAAATGGAGGTAATTCCTGCTTAGGAAAAGCACAAATGCCTATCCTGCTTAGTCCCTAAAGCTGTGGTACTTCAGTGAAGAGGCAGCTCTTCAAGGCCAGATGATATTCAGCTGAAATGGTTTTGAATCTGTGCTGGTTGGAGCACTTCATACAGTCCCGTTGGAGCATAGGATTTTGTGCATGGGGATGTATCCTCAGGTTTACTTGATTTCTTGGTATAAAGGAACATTGTTACTGTTTTCCTTAGTCTTTGTATGATACAGGAGTGAGCAATACCTGTTGTAGTTTTAAATCATAAATAAAGTCTTGAGAAATGATAATAAAGAGTCTTTTTTTGTTAATGGAGTTAATATTGTTCATGCTCTGTCAAGCCGTAGCTTCATGAGCAGTTTATTCTAGCAGGGGTCAGTTAGTGCAGCTTTGCAGTCAGAAAACTGCTCTGCTTGGAAGCGCAGTTGACAGAATGGGAAGATGCGGAGGTTCCTATGTAGGTACCCCACAGGGACGTGTTGTCAGCACGAGTGAGGGGGCAGAGTGAGCGGCCAGGGGTTGAACAGGGAAAGATGAGACTGTCTCTTGTGGTACCGTCGGGACCTGGTGCCTGATTGTCTGATTATAGTAACTTTTATATTAAAAAAACCCAGCCAGCCAACCAACAGCTTTGTGGTTAGTGAATCAGCGCATAGATTGCTTTAAACGTAAGAATAACCGATACATTATTGCTTCTATTTACTTGCTTAGAGCTTTGTAAACAGAACGTAAGTGTTCTTAGGTAATAACTCATAATTTAATCATAAATTGTACTTTGTTGTTCTGCTATTTTAACTTCAGCTAAGTAGTAGTCTACATGAGCAGTTTCCCTTGATTGGGTGGCTGTGTAAATAGTGTTCAAATTGCTGCCATTCATTACGGTCAGTGAAGCTGTTACTACAAGGTGATAAAGTTCAATGCTGTCAGTGAAGACTGGACTCTTGTGTGGTAGAATTGTATTGACAACTTTCATTGGCTTCTCTGAGAGGTCCTTTTTATTGTTACAGACTCTGACACTACAGTTCTGGCCGTATTCGTGTTCCAGTGTTTTTGAAAAAATAATATTTACAGAGCACTCTAAGATGTTCTTAATTTTTTTTGGTACTGAATTTTATATGACAGTGCAACTGCACTATCATTTCTTTAGTTTTAATAACTACTACATTACACATCCCCTCCTCCAACTTTTTATGCAGATCAATCTATCATGGATGTTTTGAAGCATAAATGTTTCCTAGAAGAATTATTGTTTTGGACAATAAAATACGAGTTTCCACAGAAGATGGTGACTTTCTTACTCAACATGCTGCCAGATCAAGATTATAAGGTACTTGCCTTACTTTAGTCAAACTTAAATGTCTTTTCTTATTCCCATACTTAATGTGTATTATGCATTGCATGAGACCACGTATGTTTATATTCAAATAATAAACAGTAAAATAATGCAGATCTTTTTTCTTGTTTGGGTTATGTTGTTAAAAGGTCCGAAGTATATAGTATTTGAAGAGAGATGAGGACAAAACAAGATGAGTAATTCTGGAGCAGCAACATGAATTTTGTTCTTGTGGTTTAGTCTTTTCCTTTTTGGCTATTAGTGCTTATTTGCATGTGTTGGATTTTGTTTTGTTTTATTTTACTTCATAAATCTGGTTTTTATCAGGTAAAAGACACGGGTCAGCACTAAATGATTCTGTGGGATGGTGTGACTGGTACCATTCAGTGACTTCATTCCTGTTGCAATGGTTGTCGTAGGCAGTGGGTTCTCTAGGCCATCGCAGTGTGAGTGTTCTCGCTGCGGCTGTGCCCTGAGTGATTTGGGCAGCCTTGCAGGGTTCTGCAGTTGTCCATACCAAGCGTCTCCTGGCCTAGAGTCACAGAGACTGGATGTCATCTTCCTGTTTTAAATCTTGGTGGGCAGCCAGGTTTGGTTGTTTGCTCTATGTATTCTCAAGACTTAGGATACATAGCAATCAGGCTTAACATTTTGCTCTGATCGTGTCATACTTTTAAGCCATGCAAATATTTTGGACCTTCTCAATCCCTGCTGGGAGACAGAGATCAAGAAATCCTGAAGCCCAGCTGTGCAAATTCCTACAAAAATGTCTGTTTATAATGGGACAGCCCTGTATTCGTGCCCCCTTAAAACCTTGAAGTATCAAAGCACAGAATGTGAAGATAACTTGCAAGGAAGACAAAGATCAGTTATGGGCCTTCAGCAATGCTCTGTCCACGTCAAGACAGCGTTCTGATTTGGGATGCCAGCACAGATACATCTTGGTCTCAAACACATCTAGTACATGAGAAGTCATCGGGACTTCTTAACTGATGATCCCTTGCTGTGAAGCTTGAACTCGTCTTGATATTTGGAGACCAATGTGGACATCCATTTCTCCTGATCCACTGCCAGCTAAACTCCTTCCTGTAAAAACACCCGGCTGCTAGCGGCATGCAGAGGGATCTGGTAAGTGTTACTGTGTTAACCTTTTTACTATACCCTGTAGTAACAACAGCTTTTAATGATCATGGGATATTTTTTCCTTTGAAACCACAGTCTTCGGTTGCTTTCTTCATTGTGTTCATAATCTTTCTTTGCTATATACTCAAAACAAAGTCCATGGTATATTTGGTTTCTCTATTGGCAGTCGCCTTTATCTGGAAATAGTCGATCTTTCACTCATCAATACTGTATTTTCAGATGAAAAGATTATCTAAACATTCATATTGTGTTTGATTACATGGTTAACTCCTATGTACAAGCTTTATTACTAACACAAATCCTAAGTATTTGAAATCTTTTATTATCTGTGTTTATTTTAATTGCTGTGATTATCCAAAATGTATTTTTCAGTAGTAAGGAAACTCAGAGCAGGAAAGGCATCACACAGCAACACTAGGGAGGCAGTAACACTACTTTTTCCCCACGATACCTGTGCTTTGTTGCAAAACTGCCAATGATGCATGAATTTTAAACACATCTATGAGGATTGTGGCTAATTTACAAGGAGTGGCTCTGCCTTTTACATGTGTACAGAGAGAGCATACCGTTTTGGGATGAGTTAGAAGAATGCTTTCTCTTTCGAGCTTCCATTTAGCTTTTATGAAGGAAAAGCTCATTTGCTGTTTAATCGTGTTGCGTTCTCAAAGAGGAGAAACACCTGCAGGAGTGTAGACTGTGTCAAGTGATATCTTGGCTTTCTGCCGCTTTCATCCCATCACCCTGCATGGGCTGCCTTAATTTTTGCTGTCTCTGCTGTTGTGCAGTTTGTCTGATTCTTCATGAGCTGATTTAGCTCATCAGATCAGCAGAATTCTGCTATGTGAGTTTTCTGATCAACTGAGCTAGCTGGCCAGACTCAGAGCACAGAGCTGGCTATCTGTGCATGTTCTGAAATTGTTGAAGTCTTTGACCTCCAGTGTAAACATAGTAGAGCTGGCTGAATCCACCTATGCAGCAATCAGTGGGCCACCAGCAATCTCTGTTGCACAGATTTATTTGCTTTTAATAGGGAAACAAACTTCTCTTTTGGGATTCTAGATATCCAGAAGAGGTGCTGAAAGGGATGGGCTAAAACCCTGAGTTAAGTAGCTTTCCCCTGCCCTTTCCCCAGCTTTTGCATGAGAGAGTCAGCACAACAAACTGTGGTCTTTGCCTTACAGGATTTGTGCCTGTGGCACCCCTTCCAGGACACTCTGACATTTGGAGCTTGGAAGACTTACAAGTGAAGAAAAAGAAAACGGAAGAGAAATCTACCGGAGCTTCCAAGAAGTTAGAGATGTTACGGTGCGGACCAGGTTTCTGCAAGAGTTAAAACAAAAGGCCAGAGAAACAGAACTGACCCTCATGTGATGAAGGAGAAGACAAAGAAGGGGTTGGCAGTAAAGAGGAAGCTGATGGAAGAGAGTGTGAATCAACCAAGAGCAGAGCTTTGCTGAAGTCTGGAATACTGGAAGTAGAGAAAAACAGAAGCATCTGGTAGAGATAATGAATCAACAAACATAATTATTGGAAATGCTGTGCCTTGTCTGGCATCTCGTATAGTGAACACTGGGGCACTTACGGCAATAGGACTTCACTAACCCCTGGATATGCTGTTCTGCAGTTTTTCTGCAGGAAACAATTTTAGCACAACTTTTACCTTGTAGAACTATCTTTTTATTTGCATTGCAAACATGAACATGGGAGGTGCAAGGTCTAACTAGAACATGGGATTGATATTAGGCTCCTAAGAGTTTTGGGATTGTTGAGTGACCACCAAGAGGAGAGGCGAGATAATAAATGCAATTCTTGCATAGGCTAGAAATTTAGAAGCTGCACAAAATCATAGAGAATGAGTCAGTGAAGGTAATTAAATATAAGGAAAACATGTGTCTTGGGAAGCCACTTACTGCAAACGGCTGGGAGCTGAGGAGGACTTTGGAGAGATGTGCCATGTCAGTATCTGCTGTCTCGCTCCATTCTGTGTTTCTCCGTAGCTGTGTGTACAGCTTTAGTCACTCAAAGGCTGGATACTGGCCTGGATGGTTTGCTGGTCTATGGCTGGTTTTTTGTACTAAACTGCAGTTAACCACGGTATTTCAGCATTTCAACTTCTGGAAATGAGTTTTGTGTCTTCCTCTCAAAATTGGAAAGGGTTGTGTTTGTTTAATTTGGAAGTGAATGTAGGAGTAAAGCTTATGTCTTTTAGTTAAGTGTATTACAGAATATCATTACACTATATTCATAGACGTTTACTGTACTTTCAGAAGCTCATTATCACATATGAGTGAGGCACAAAAAGTTTTGCTGCATGCCGATTTAAAATAAATAGGACAAATTCTGGATTTTTTTTATTTTAGAGGACCATGTTTTTGCAATCAACTTGAATTGAAAGGGCTGTATAAAACAAGTAAAACATAGTTACTACATCACAGAACTTGAGAATCCTATTTAAACATAATACAATGTGAAAAAGTAATACATAAAGTACACTTTTTTACTGACAGCATTAATATACCAACTTCTTAAAATATCAGGTGTATCACTTGTGTTTGAGGCCTAACAACAACAGTGTAAATGTCTCTGTTTATGTCATTGCCAATGATTAAAGTTGTCTCAAGCTTTAGTGTAAGGGAAATGATACGACAGGTTGTTCTGCCTTGGAACAGCAGAATGTTGTTGTATTAACTCAGCACAAGTACTGCCAGTACGTTGTTGTGAAAAGGCTGTAGCTGAAAACAGTTACCGTTATGCTGGGTGCTGTACACACAAGACACTTTAAATTATGATGCAGGTTTGCATCATTGCACACCAGCTGAGGGAAGGCAGGTTAAGCACTGTTGAAGTGTTTCCTGTAGTGACATCCTCATCCCCGATCTGGTCCGTTTCTGTTGCATGAGCAACTTTATTTTTGAGGACATTTGCTGGAAGCAGCAGTCTTTGCGCTCAACAGCAGCGTTATGGCATCATGATATTTTTGGAAATATTTTTCTAAATAACGTGGTGGCACTATAATAAAAATATGAGAGCACCGAGTGTGAAGCAGGTAAAGTGAAGGAGTGATTTGTAAACAGTCTGGTGAAAACACAGCTGCCTGAGGGTGGTTTTAAAATGTCTGGTTTTATTCTTATGAAAGATTAATACTTCCAGAAGAAAAAAACCAGGAGATTTTAGACTTTGATCTGAAAATTTTCATCACTACACAGCTTGTGTTATCTCCTCTTACGAAGCCACACAAGTCCAGATGGTGTTAGTTCAGAACTCGAAGTACCAAGCGAGAAGTGATTTCAAAGCTGGTAGAGATGCACACACGTACATGCAGTGCAGGAGGCTGGTTTACAATGCAATTTGAGGCTAATGGAGTGTGACAAGGAATTGCACTAAGATTTATATGTATGTGTATTGATATTTTGTGTATTGATACATTTAAGTACTGATCTGGTTTGAAAAACCTAAACAGTTGTGTGAAGAATAGCAGAGCTTGCTAATGACTTTATTTAGGAGAACTTGCTAAAGATTTACTAAAACAATAGAAGATGTTATGATAGCAGATGACATTCAGTGTTGAAAAGTCATCCTTGACACATGAATGAAAACCTTAACTTCATGGGTAGACGAGTGCAGGTGATAAGTTAAGGCAGCTTTATTAGGTACCACTAATATCATTGTTTCTAGTGTATCATTTGGGGACATTAGTCCCTGTTTTAGTATATGAAAGATGTAGGATAAATTCGTTATTGGAATTTTACTGCTTTCACAGGTATGATCAGACCTTGTTTCAGTATTTCTGGTGAGGTTTTTTTTTGTGTGGAAAGTACAGGATAGAAGATGGTATAAGGTAATAAAATTGGAGGGAACTGATGGCAACTAATGTTTCCTAGGATATATTGATTGTACTTTTGTAAAGGAATATTTTATAATGAAAGAAAGCTGTAATTTTTGCGTAGTGCTCGTTAACATCAACATTTCTTTGTAACTTGCAGATTGCTTTTACCAAAACTTTTGTTCAGCATTATGCTTTTATTATGAAGACACTGAAGAAAAGCCATGAATCGGACACAATGTCCAATAGGATTGTGCATATCAGCGTTCAGTTGTTCAGCAATGAAGAACTAGCGCGCCAAGTAACAGAGGAATGTCAGCTGCTGGATATTATGGTCACTGTTCTGTTATACATGATGGAAAGTTGCCTTATTAAAAGTGAATTGCAAGGTAGGTTCGTTTGTTGGTTTGCTTATTTCCACGGATAATAAATTGATTACAGAGGAAACTTAATCTCTTTCTTTGGTATTCAGTCCACCCCCCAATCACTTTCCAAGAATGCACAGTGTCTAGAAATGTATGGCAGAGACTGAGTCTCAACACTTCCTAGAAATGTAGAGGTAGTTGTCAAGAGTGATACTGATGTTTTATCCTTTGGTTTGTACATTTTTCGTCTGTAGGAATGTTCTATAGTGTACAATACAGAGTATTGTGTTGCCAGCTTCATTTCTTGGGTAAAGTGCATAAACACTCTTTGTGAAGCTCATTTGAATGAGAAATTATATATGCAAACTGAGACCTTTATTAATTTATAAATATTTTTAAAGTATTTCACAATCTATTTGAAGCATTTAAAATAGTTTTTAATTTTTCTTACCCATGATTGCCTTAAGAAAACTTGATATAATTAGAGGAGAATGATTTAATGCTTTGTAAATACAATAACTTGATCAAGCTTTTGGTTAACAGAGTGGCAATTTGAATTTTAACTAGTGTACACCGTTTACCTTTCCCAGTGAAAATAGCTGGAAAGTTTCTACCTTCCTTGTTTTACCTGTGCTTATGTGAAAATGTTGGCACAGCAACTCTTGCTGACTTCTGGTTTTCACATTGTCACGTACCTAACAGACCACAGACCCCTCAGCCCTCTTTATCCTAGCTTGAATTTGAAAATACTCTCTAAATAAGCTGACTGCTGCTGTCAAGTAAGTACTGTCCGCTTCTGCACAGAACAGTAAGGTATCCTTTATCTCTGAGCCCACTCTGTATGGCCTGATACAGAATGACTACTGAAACAGGCAATCCTCAGTCATTTTGCTGTGGAGTGCCCTCATTCAGCTGTGCTTCAGCATGAGAAACTTTGCTGTTGCCCTACATAGATTGCTTCACAGTATTCACAGAAAAATGTTGAATCTTCCTCTTTAACAATTTGCCTGTCAGTTGACTTTTGCTGAACTAATGGCATATTGGTGCAATGCCATTTGAAACTGCTTTTAAGTCCTTGTTTTTTCTTGTTGGTCGGCATGGGGTGTTGCTAGCAAGGTGGTCAGGTTCTGTAATGGATCAGAATTTGCAGCCAAACTGAAAAAGGCTGTGTCTGTGATTAGACTGATTCTCTGAAGAAGTGTCCAGGTAATTAATGACGTGAACTGGAGCTGGTAAGTTAAATAGCATCAGATACATTTGTGATGGATTTGTGAGAAAAGACTTGCCCCTGGACCAGCTATCCCAAGACATGAAGTGACCTGTTTTCCCCAGCGCCAGTTTTCTCTTAGCTAAGACTCCATAATGGAATCTGTCTGGTGCTTTTCAGTGTTTTCACAACACTTCCTCCTCGCTGTTTTATGTATGAGGGGTTGGGCATACTGTAAATTGACAGAAGAAATTTTGATAAAATATTTTATTGGGTTTTTTCCTCTCTCATATTCTTATTGGCTTTTTGCAGTTCTCTGGGCCTGTATCTGGTGTTTAGTTCAAGATATCTCTTAGGATGATGGATATAGTGAGAAGTCTTTTAGAAGTCTGTGCTGGTGGAGCTGTACTGAGAATACTGTCTGGGCAGCTAGCATGAACCAGTAGATCATTTAGTATCTGGATGAGACAAAGGTTACAAATCCAGCCAGTGGAAAGATGGAGAAGACGTGTTGGGGAGGAGCATGGAGAACATGGAGCAGGAACTGTGTCTGCGAAGGCACCTTTAGTTTGCACTGCTCACACCTCCTAAATGACACCTTTTAAAAGTGTACAGTTCATTAGGGGTATTTGTGGATGCCAAGTGACAAGGGGTGTTCCTGACACAGAGTACACCAGGGGCTGTGCTGATAGAAACTTCAGAACTGTTACTAGTTCAGCTGACCTCTCCCACACATGATGTGAAAGGTTGAGAAGGTGAAATACAGCTGCAGATGATACAACTGGCTCCCTAGGAAGATTTGTCCCTGTGCTCTTAGAGACCTTTTTTCTCTCTATCAGCATTTTTCCTCTTACTGAACTTTTCGTGGGAGAAGAATTTATATCCCAAGGAGAAAGTTTTGGTAATGGTTCATCCCCTTTTTTTAAAAAAAAGGTAACTCTTTTCCTTTGATCGTACATTAACCCAGGCTTGTAGAGTACTCTGAATAAGAGGCAATGCCACTGCCAATTTGAAGTAACTCTGGATTTGTCTAATCTATACTGGGGCAGAGAATTGACAACATGGAGCTGTTGGGTCTTTGCAGAGTCATTCAGTGGGTTCAGGCAGAGCCAACTGAGGTGTTACCCTGTTCTTGCCTGGGCTGTGTGAGCACATGGGAACCAGGCAGCCGAGCAACCAGACTTAGTTTCCTTTCTTCGCAGATGTACCAGATAACGAGAGAGAGATTAAAGAGTATTTGATCAACTGTGGCAGAGAAGTTTGAGAACCTGCACAGAATGCTTCTGGCTTCCCGTTCCTTCCAGTGCTTCAGTGTAATAGATAGGAGTCAGTCTTAAGAAATGGAGCTCTGTATTACCTTATGGTAACAAGAAGGTATCTGTTAATAGTTGTGTGCAATTCCAGCAGCATATTTTTCAGGATTACGTCTAATTCCTTTTTCTGACTGTGGAGTGTTCCTGGAAAGTAAAACTTGTCAAGATCAAAATAGTGTGTGACTTCAGGTTAGAAAACCTGTTGACTTAACAGACGAGTAGTGTTTTTTTCCCCTAGTACCAATAAACTAACAAAATAAACAACCTCAGAGTAAAAAGGAAAAGAAGTATTTTCTTCAGTAGTTACAACAAAGGGGAGGGATAAAGCTTACACATACACCAAAGGGAACCACTCCAGATGCAGATGTGCCTCATCCACGGCAGACTGGAGTCTCTTATAACAGTGTCTTTAGCTGTGGCTGTGCTGTACAGCTGATGACCCTTTCACTGCGTGAAGGGTAACGACAAGGGTCCCTCAGTGCATTTGAACTGGACAAGAGCCATCCTCAAGGTTGATGATTATTGGATGTAAGATTTTGTTTCTTCTGTTCACTTGAACTAGAATAGCAACTGGCAGATGGGTGCTGGAAGTTATTTCCCTTGGATCGTGAATCCAGGACCAGTCCTGTTTCCCTTCTGGTCTTTCCCAGGGTCCATCTTATGAAAATGAAATAAAGAGATTTATTTGACAGCTGTAGAGGATGTACTTCTGTGATCTGGGGAGGAGACTTCTCCCTCCTTCTCCCCCTTGTAACCCCCCCTGATTTATTTCTCTTCTTTTGGGACCCTTCTCCTGCCCTAGTGTCAGGAAGGCTGCATAAACCCTCTCTCTGTCCCAGATTCAGAGCAGAAATGCTTTTCTCTGCTGTCCTTCTCAGACTCAACATGCCAGTGTAGGTTTTGATCACCAGATTCCTGTCTGCATGCTGTAAGGTAGCTTACTCCCTGGAAGCGTGTCAAATTCAAAATAGATTTCAGATGTTCATAATAGAAATGGTATTGTTTGGTTGTCTTATACTTCTTGATAGGATTCAAAAAAGGCATAGCTGTGATGGTTTTATTAATAAGCTGCTTTTAAGAGGTTGCTATACTGTTTGAAGTATGTGTCTGTTGTGGTTTAGCCCCATCTAGCAACTGAGTGCCACACAGCCACTTCCTTACTCCCTTCCCTGAGATGAGGGAGAGACCTGGAAGAGAACAAGTGAGAAAACTTGTGAGTTGAGATAAAGACAGGTCATTAGGTAAAGCAAAAGCCATGCTCACAAGCAAAGCAAACCAAGGAATTCATTCACCACTTCCCACGGGCAGGCAGGTGTTCAGCCACCTCCAGGACGGCAGAGCTCCATCACATGTAACAGTGACTTGGGAAGACAAACGCCATCACTCTGAATGTGCCCCCTTCTCCCCCCCAGCTTTATATGCCGAGCATGACACCATGTGGTATGGAATAGCTGGACGGTTGGGGTCAGCTGTCCTGGCTGCGTCCCCTCCCAGCTTCTCCTGCACCTCCAGCCTACGCGCTGGTGAGGTGGTGTGAGCAGCAGAAAAGGCCTGGACTTTATGCAAGCACTGCTCAGCAACAGCTAAAACATTCCCATTTTATCATCACTGCTTTCAGCACAATCCAGAACATAGCCTCACACTAGCTACTATAAAGAAAATTATCCCAGCGAAAACCAGCTCAGTCTCCTACTGAGGGGAGGCCGAGTTGATGAGTCCACGATGAGCAAACAGCCTCAAGTACCACAGATAACAGTTGTTCTTCTCTGTGGTTTGTGTGTGTGTGATTGTAGCATTACAGGAAATCCTAATTTTTATTTTTGTGCTCTCTCCTAACTTTAATTAAAAATTACAACAACAAGAAAAAAAGGTGTTACTTTCCATCACATGTAACAGTGACTTGGGAAGACAAACGCCATCACTCTGAATGTGCCCCCTTCTCCCCCCCAGCTTTATATGCCGAGCATGACACCATGTGGTATGGAATAGCTGGACGGTTGGGGTCAGCTGTCCTGGCTGCGTCCCCTCCCAGCTTCTCCTGCACCTCCAGCCTACGCGCTGGTGAGGTGGTGTGAGCAGCAGAAAAGGCCTGGACTTTATGCAAGCACTGCTCAGCAACAGCTAAAACATTCCCATTTTATCATCACTGCTTTCAGCACAAAGCCTCACACTAGCTACTATAAAGAAAATTAACTCTGTCCCAGCGAAAACCAGCCCAGTCTCCTACTGAGGGGAGGCCGGGTTGATGAGTCCACAATGAGAAAACAGCCTCAAGTACCACAGATAACAGTTGTTCTTCTCTGTGGTTTGTGTGTGTGACATTGTAGCATTACAGGAAATCCTAATTTTTATTTTTGTGCTCTCTCCTAACTTTAATTAAAAATTACAACAACAAGAAAAAAAGGTGTTACTTTAATTTTCTTCTTTTTTAAATCTAGATGAAGAAAATAGCTTACATGTTGTGGTGAACTGTGGGGAAGCACTACTGAAGAATAATACTTACTGGCCCCTGGTTAGTGATTTCATAAACATACTTTCACACCAAAGTGTGGCAAAGAAATTTTTGGAAGATCATGGTCTTTTGATAACGTGGATGAATTTTGTCTCATTCTTTCAAGGTACGTGACTTTTATAATCAGTGCTAATGCAAGGTTGTTAAGACACCTTAATGTTCGCAGTAGTAAAAGCTGTACGCTGCTGTATGTAAATATTTAATTCTTTAGTATTCTCTTAAGTCTGTATTCCTGGAAGGGAGCGGTAAATGATCTAATGGGTCTTTGTCTTGTGTAAACTAGTTAAAGAGCAATTGCACCGCACTTGACTGAAATTCATGGTGCCAAAATTCTCAGGTGGTACTTAAAGTACAAATCATAACTTGTGCTAGAAGTGTTTCAGTGGTGAAGTTCTAAATTTAAATATTTGGTAAATCAGTCTGATGAATCTGGATCTTATTCCACGTGCTGCTGTGAAGAAACTTTTTTATTATTTCAAAAAATATTTAAAAGTCATTAACTTCTCCATGCCGATAAATTTTCTGCCTAGGAGGAGGACCATTTTCCATCCAAATGTTCTCATTGACCAAGTGAAGTTCAAGGCAGAAGGGCTGCTGTCCGTGTTAATGTCACCTGAACAGCGAGGACTGCAGTTACTGACCAGTCTAGAGCTGTTGGTCTTTTCTGGTCTATTTCTGTTCAAACTTCCATTCTTCTTCTCATATTTTCTGTATTATTGTGCTGCTAAATAAGATAGATTGTTATACTTTGTGGGTTTTGGTCATAATAGGTGTGTGAATGCATAACACTAAAAATACCACATTCCACTCAGCCCTAGTTAAATATTTGCTTGTATAACTCTGCTTAAATCTTTGAAGGTATGAATTTAAATAAGCGAGAATTAAATGAGCACGTGGAGTTTGAATCGCAGACGTACTATGCTGCCTTTGCTGCTGAGCTGGAAGCCTGTGCCCAGCCAATGTGGGGTCTTCTGTCACACTGCAAAGTTAGGGTAAGACTAACATTTCTCTGTCATTATTCTTGTCATTATTTTATTAATGATTTTTTCTAGAGTTCTCAGATCTGAAAGGTCTCTCTGCTTTGTGCTTAAATCTTTGAAGGTATGAATTTAAATAAGCGAGAATTAAATGAGCACGTGGAGTTTGAATCGCAGACGTACTATGCTGCCTTTGCTGCTGAGCTGGAAGCCTGTGCCCAGCCAATGTGGGGTCTTCTGTCACACTGCAAAGTTAGGGTAAGACTAACATTTCTCTGTCATTATTCTTGATTTTATTAATGATTTTTTCTAGAGCTCTCAGATCTGAAAGGTCTGTCTGCTTTGTGTTTGAAAAGACTTGGGTTTTGCTGTCTTTGTCTACCAAACATGTAAAACTCTAATCAGCTCTGGTTCTGTGTATAGTGAGTATAGAATTCATGCTTGTAGCTAATTTATTGTCTCCTGAACTGGGACTGCAAGTCTGGGATGTGTGCAGTCATTCCATATGGCTGTGCATATGGAGTAACTTCTAATCTGATTAAGAACTTGATAAATGTCTCTGAGTCATTCTGCCTGTGTTCAGTGGAAAAGCAGATACATAAGTTGTGCCTAATGTGTTTATAATGGTGAGTGCATCTGAAAACAGACACGTCGTGATGAGGAGGGATGGAGCACTTTATAGGTTTCTCTTCTTTTACTAACAACCTGAATTGAAAGCGTCTTAGGTTCTGACACCTCATGATCTCCTACCTAGAGTTATGACTGTTTGCTAGACTGTAAATTATATTATGTTACAGTAAAAATGGAATCTGTCAGCTTACAGGAATATTTAACATGTGAAAAAACTTTATTGTGAGTTTATGGTTCTTTTTAATGAAATAAATGCTTATCTCTGAAATAAATTTATTAAGAAACTTAATACCTGAATTGAACTGTGCGCTGAAGAGATGTGTGCGAGCATACCGTGCAATTTTAAAACAGTTTAAATCAGGCAGTTGCAAAAGACTTTCCGTGATATAAGTTGCGCTAATACATTATGCAGACAGCAATTTATGGGTCTAAATTATCTTTTGAAAACTGAATTACAACTTCGGGCTTTTTGAATCATTCTTTTAAGCTTAGGGATGGGAAGGTCTGCCCTGTGTTTAAGACTTGTGTGATTCCTTGCTCTGCCCGTAGGCGCGTCAGTCATGTTCCACCCCCGTGTTTGAACCTTTTGGTCATTCTCAGTAAGTCTGAAAGAGTTTTAGAAATTTCATAGCTTAATTGTTGTACTTGTTTAGTGAAACCTGATGGGTGGGAAGAGATTCCAGCTCACTTCCCACAGGAGAGGGACAGCCGGTGGATCCGTGCCAGCACAGAGGGTGGAGCAGCAGGATGGGAGTGTTGCTGTGGCATTTCTTGATGAGGAGGTGTCTGACAGAGCCACTCGGCACTTGTGCAGCTTGCGGCTGGCCAAAGCGCTGCTGGCTTTTCATGAGAAGTGTGCCACAGATATCCTGAGAGCATGGGGCAGCTCTGGAGTCTGTGTTTAGGGGGAGGGAAGATTAAAGGCACAGTCAGTTAAGAAACGAGGCTTTGTAAAGTTCACAGGGCTGTTTGGTTTAACTCCCCTGCTGCCCTCCTTCCTTGCACATCACTGCTTTGCTCCTGGAGGGCAATGTAGAGCTCTAGTCTTGAAATAGGTGACTTAATCTGAAATATATTTGAGTTTTAGGGCATTGTTATAGAGTTACATCATACAATCATAACAAGGTTTGCTTATTGTTCAAATCTATGCACTATTGTGTTGTCACTGCGTCTCAGATGCATTGTTTTAGCAAACTATAAGGACCTTTCCATAGATAAAACTCACAGGACATTACCCATTCCTTTTGATTGTATGGAAAGGCGTTTGTTTGGTTTTTTTCTTTTTAAATGCTTCCATCTCTAAATTTTTGGTAAAAATACATGGATAAATTAAACAACATTAGGTACTAGGACGACCTGACCATTCTGAAGGTGCCTTAATTCTCACCATTGAAATGGTTGACTTCTAGAGTAACAATGAAACCATCCTAATACTTACTAATTTCCAAATGATGAAGGTATAAACTATGTACTGTAAAAATATTCTTGAAAAAGATCATATTTATTTGTATTAGCAAACAGTGGCACTTACTCCAATCTGGTTTGGCTTGTGTAGTACACTGATTTCTCTTGCTGCAGGAAACACAGGAATACACACGAAATGTTGTCAGATACTGCCTTGAAGCACTTCAGGACTGGTTTGATGCTATCAACTTTGTAGATGAGGTAAGTATCCTTAGTGAATTTAAGCGAAGTACTGTGAAAATCTGAGGAAACTTCAAAGGTGATACACTTACCCCTGACCCCATCCCTTAAATGAAATAATAATTCTAGGTACTTACTGAAAAAGGATTGCCTTGCTGAAATTAGAGTTTGTAGTTAATAGTTACAAATGTTATGTCCTAGGATCCTTCATTTGTAGTCTTGATAGTTTAGATTTGTGGGTGCAAGCCTAGGCTGTGTGTGTTAAAAGAAGTGCCGTTGGCTGTACTGCTGTTCTGCTGAATGAAGAGCTGAAGCAATGGCAAAACAAGTCCTCTTCTGATATGGTAGTGGGGAGTAGCTTTGCCACCTTAGCAAGCAATACTCTATCAGTTCAGAGTGTCATTAGCTTCTAGGGGCTTAGTAAGACATTAACTACAGGAGTCTGAATAAGGGAAATTTCTGAATCAATCAAAGTGCATGAGAATTAAGTAATACCAGGTTAGTGGAAAATAAGTTCATCAAGTGAAGACATGCAAGGTACTGTTCTTGGGGGTTGTGACAAAGACATTTTGTAGGTTTGGCTTTTTAATGTATGTTATTAAAATTTCTCTGTTTTACTTTCAGCCAGCTCCTAACCAAGTTACTTTTCATTTGCCATTGCACCGTTACTTTGCCATGTTTTTAAGTAAGGTAAGCACGTGTTTCAGTCGCATGGAAGATGGGAATGCCCTGTTGTGTGTTTGTTCAGTACAGTGTGTGCTTGCTTTTTTTTTCTAGGCTGTCAAATGCCAAGAACTAGATCTGGATACCATCTTGCCAGATCAGGAGATGCTGATGAAACTAATGATTCACCCACTTCAGATTCAGGTATGGGCAGACTTCTGACTTTGATAGGGATCTAGAGGTATACAATAAAAAGCTGATGTTTCATTCTTTTAACCCCTGTCATTTAAGTATATTTAGAAGTATTTAACAAGAGGGGAGTATGTCTTAATTGTGGAATATCAAAATAAGCATTATTTTGATATTTTGATGGGAAACGCCACCAAGCTGTGCCAAGGGAGGTTCAGGTTAGAGATAAGGAGGAAGTTCTTTACTGAGAGGGTCGTCAGAAGCTGGCACAGGCTGCCCAGGGAGGTGGTGGAGTCACCATCCCTGGATGTGTTTAAAGAGCGGGTAGACGAGGTACTTAGGGATATGGTTTAGGGGGTAGACAGGAACGGTTGGACGTGATGATCTCAGAGGGCTTTTCCAACTGAGCCATTCTGTGATTCTGTGATGGGACAACAATAACTACAATATACTGACTAGTTAGGATAAACTTTTTTTTCTTACTATTTCCAAAATTAAGGATGTGGCATTAGTTGTCATATTCTGAGAAGTATGGTAATAATACTCACTACAGAAGTTCCAAAAGGGTAGAAGGAACCAGCCCTCTGAAAACATGGAATTGCTTGTTCATGGCATAGCTGCCAATGGAGTGCAAGCTGAGAAGAAACTTGAGTCTGAAAATTTCGGGTTTTAAATTAAGAATGAGTTCAAGAATGGATGCACCACGCAGCATCATTTTTATTTACAAATTTTTATGTAATTTTATGTCAGTGGTAGTGAACAGTATTTGTAATCACTGCTTTTATATCTAATGCCGTTTTAACCATGGTGCTTTCATATTTGGAGTACTTTTCAAGATTTTAATAAATAAATCAATCACCTCATTGGCTTTGATCGCTTTCATTATCTGAAATGTGCTATATGAAGGTGTGGTACTTGCAGTGTTTCCTTTTCATCCCTCACTCCCGGGGAGAAGTAAATTAGTAAAAAAAAGTATACTTTAAATACAGTTGTAGTCTGTATGTACATATATACATGATAATATATTGATGATATGCTAATTTTGAACTGAATAGCTTAATATCTCTGTCATGTTTGTAAATGTTTATTTTACTTTACCTGAACAGGCAAGTCTTTCTGAAATTCACAGCAACATGTGGGTTAGAAATGGCCTACAGATTAAAGGACAGGCCATGACTTACGTGCAGTCTCATTTCTGCAATTCAATGATTGATCCTGACATTTATCTGCTGCAAGTAAGTTATGCTTTCTGAGAAGCCAAGCTGTTGCTTGTTTACAAACAAACTGCTGAATAAAATGAATTTATTCTCTTTCCACAGGTCTGTGCCTCTCGGCTGGATCCTGATTATTTTATTTCGTCTGTTTTTGAAAGGTAGGTTTAAAAGATGAATGCTCTTGTTCAGTGTTGTGCCAGCTGTTGACTTATTAATGACATGTGAGAGAAAGGGTCCATATCTGATACACATGTTCAGTGGTGCAACTCTCTCTAGCCAATATTAACACTTACCTGAGGGCTCTGCTGAAAGAGGTATCTCAGAGTGGTATATCCTTGATCTGGTACAGGTGTGGCTTTTGATTTACAGTGCAGTAGTGAAGCTTCAGTCTTTTATTTTCTGAGCATCTTCAGTTTTTTCAAGTTTTGCACATGTTCATGTGCTAGCTCTCAGGATACGCTAGCCTGAAGAAGTAGCTAAATAGAGATAAATAGAGCAGCAACAGTAAGAGACACAGAAAGTATGTCTGCTTTTCTGGATAGAATAAAATCAGGGTTTGAAAACAGATTAGTTTGCATTAGCTTTTATATGTTCATAAACATAACCTGTTTTCAGGTGGAGTAAATATCACTATATGCATTTCATAGGTAGTTAAGTAAAATTTCAGATTTAAAAGTAAGAGGGTTTTCATGTATATTTGCATATTACTGCATTAGATGCATTTCATTTTGTATTCATTGTTGGTTGCTGTGACTGGTATCCTGAGTTTGTCAGTACACTGCACATTGGTGTTTTAATGTTGGAGAATGATGTTTCTGCCCTTAATCTTTGCTGTGTAGATTTAAGGTGGTAGATCTGTTAACGATGGCGTCGCAACATCAAAATACAGTTCTTGATTCAGAGCACGAAAGGTCCATGTTGGAAGGAGCTTTGACGTTTTTGGTCCTTCTGTTAAGTCTTCGTTTACATTTAGGTAAGAATCACTGCTTTAGGAATACTTGTGTGTAAATAACATACCTGTTCAATTATATTCAACATTTATAGCTACCATAAAGCTGATTAGCCATGTAGTAACTTAGAGCATTCAACACTTGGTTTCATTTTTGCCAACTAATGAATTTTAATCCCTTATGAATTAGAAGTAAACATAACATTTTTGTGTCAGAAACTGTGTGGCCAGGAGGACTGGGGAAGTGATTGTACCCCTGTACTTGACACTGGGCGAGGCCTCACCTTGAATACTGTGTTCAGTTTTGGGCCACTCACTACAATAAAGACATTGAGGGTCTGGAGAACAGGTCTTATGAGGAGCAGTTGAGGGAACTGGCAGTGTTTAGTTTGGAGAAAATGAGGCTGAGGGGAGACTTTAAGACTCCCTACAACCACCTGAAAGGAGGTTGTAGTCAGGGGAGTATCTGTCTCTTCTCCCAAGTAACTAGTGATAAGCTAAGAGAAAATGGCCTCAGATTGCACTAGGGGAGGTTTAGATTGGATATCAGGAAAAGAGTTTTCACTGAATGGGATATCAAGCATTGGAACAGGCTGCCCAGGGCGGAATCACCATCCCTGGAGGTGTTTAAAAGACAAGTAGATGTGGCACCTGGGGACGTGGTTTAGTGATGGAGTTGGCAGTACTAGGTTAACAGTTGGACTTGGTGATCTTAAAGGTCTTTTCCACACTAAATGATTCTATGACTCTATAATGCATAGAAATGAAGAAAAATGTCTTTAATGGAAGCGGCTGATTTGTTTCTGTGATAATATGAAGATTCTGTGTGTTTTTCATAGACAGTTTCAGTTTATACCGGTCTTTTCTGACTGAGGTTATTTCACATAACATTTGTGCTATCCTGCCCCCCATTTTTTTTCTGTATTCTTATAGCACTGGATACAAATATTAAGTAATGGTAAAGTTTAACTTGTATGTCATGACAAATGTATGCTGAATGTGTGTTTTTAAAACCATGCTATTTTAATGGCTTTTTAACTTTTACTGTTCTAGGAATGACAGATGATGAGATCCTCCGAGCAGAGATGGTAGCCCAGCTCTGTATGAATGACAGGACACACAGTTCATTATTGGATCTTATATCCTTGGAATATATTAACTAATATTTATGAATGAGAACGGCAGGTATCTGGACAGTAGTGGAATTTTGGAGCTTGAACGTGTTTTCAGGTTACGTGATTATAACAAATTGTGTAAAGGTGTGTTTGCACAAACTTATCAGCAAAGGCGTACTTCAGCTTTGATTTTGTTTCTAGTTACAAAATATGCTGTACGTCGTAATGGTTTTAAGTTAGTTTTGGTACAAAATGTTTAACGGTTCCTTTTATTGTTTTTTAACACTACAAAAGTCTTCCAGGTGTGAGGTGAAAAGTCTGTTTTACAATGACATTGTAGAAAGTTTAGCCAGGCATCGCTTTTATCTGGATTTGAGCCTTTGATTATTGCTAATTTTATGCCAGTATAAAAAGAAGCCACTCTATGCTGTATTAGCTTTAGTTATCAATACCTGAAAATGCAAATAGCAATTCTGAATGCTGCTTTGAAATTAGAGTGAAATGCTTGTGTTACAGGGGGAAGTGTCTTACTTGAAGAACAGCAAACTCTAGGAAGTCTTTCAACGCAGTGTTATGCTCACATCTCCAAAGAGCTGAATACAAATACACAGGTTTTACTGCTGTCAGTGTATTAAGCTGTGTAGGCAAATTAAATAGCTTGTGGTGATTCCCAAAAGAGCTTGCAATCCAGGGATAGGCGCTGAGCAAAAATATTAGGACTTTGTAAAGATAGGAAAGGAGAAGAATGAGAGTTACAAATATGTAGTAAAAATTAGTAATCATTATGCTATGACCTAGTGATTCAATCACTTAAATATGTAGAATAGGCAGATTAAAAAGCAATTCCCTTAAGTCAGTTGCTTTACAATGTGAAATAAGTGAATCGTGTACAAGCAATCACTTAGCGTTAAGCAGAAGTTTCCTTATTTGTAGCTGCTACTTGTAATTTGTGATAATGTCAGGAGGTCAGTTAAGTATCTCTACTGAAAATGAGAACTAGAAATAGCCAATCCAAGACGGAGAATTACTTACTGTGTTTATGGATCCCAAGCTGTTTACCTGCTTTTTCTGTACTTAGCTGTAAATGCAAAGTAATCTTGCTATGAAGAGAGCCAAATGATAGTAAATAAAGGCAAGTTCAAAAACTGTGTACACACGATAGATAGTAGTGTTTCTTTCTCATGTAATACTTACCTTTTGAGTGAAGCATGTGGGGATTGGCTGGCTTTAAGGAGTTTTATGTCCTGGCTAGAAGGCTTGGGTTCACTTCTGTAGCAGTTACTGTTCCATAGCAGCTGGAGCACGCAGACCTCTTGTGGTAAATACAGAGCACTGCCGAAGTGTGGCCTCTAAAACAAGTGACTGAATATGTCAAGAGGGAAGTAAAACGCTGCATCCTGGAACTAAGTTAACTCTTCTTTCCTTAACACAAACGTTACATTCCAGAAAACCCCAATCCTAAAAGTGGTATTATTCCGGGAAGCTTAAGCTTTGAATCAGTCTTGTCAGCAGTTGCTGATTTTAAAGCTCCTGTTTTTGAGCCTGGAGGTTCCATGCAGCAAGGAATGTACACACCTAAAGGTAAGGTAATCGGTGTCCTCTTGTAACATACTCAGTGGTAAGATGCTTAACCAGAGGCTTTTTGTCTTAAAACCAAAACAAAATCCAACATCAAATAACAAAAAGCAACCCACCAAGCAATGATAAATGACCCCTCCAAAAACCCCAAAACAAAACCACTACTACCACAATTCCACAAAACTTGTCTTTTTCATTATTGTTTATTGCTTAGATTTAAGAGCATTGCTAAAGACTGTTCATTTAATAAATTCATTTTGATCCGGAGTGAAAATGAGCTTCTCGTCTTAATCAGGTATCCTTCGAAAGCAAGGGAAAACAGAGAACTCAATAATTTTCACTGATATGCATACTTAATCATTCGTGTGATTTTAAAAAATCTGATGCATGTTCATCTGAGTTTAGAAGTGTTTGCACTAGTGAGGTGTCAGTTGTAAAGATACTTCAGCTTCTTCCTATTTTGATTATTAAACATGCCATGATACCCAATTCTTTCTTTTGTATTGCTTAACTGTCTTAATAGCCTGTAGCGTTTTTCCTACTCAGTAGCGAGACTGTACAACAAAGTTGAGACTAGACTGGTTATAGAATATTATTCTATAATTCTACAGTGCTTGTCGTGCAAAAATGACACGTTTCTTCCCCTGACCAGCTTGTCATCTAAATTGGATTCAACATAGTGTTGGTGTATCAAAGCAGAGGAAGAATTTAAGGACTCAGTGTTCCAGTACTGTTTCCTGTCACTGCGCAGATAAGCCTGTAGGAATCTGAAATGCTCCATGTGCTCTGGTTGTGCTTCAGCTCATGGCAAAGCTGAAGAGGGATTAACTCCTTCCTTCCTATCCCTGGGTACCTCCCTTGAGGACTGGCAGGGTTGGGGTCTGACAGTTCTGAAACCATTTGGTTTGTAGCCTGTGTTCCTTTGAGGACTTTTTATGCCGTTCTTAATGTAGGAACCAATACTACACTAATTTGTTTACCAGTTTCTCTACTGGGAGATTGATAAGTTAGTGAAGCTCTTACAAAATTACGTCACTGGTGGTTAATTTGTATAAAAGCAAAAGGAAAGTTCTGGGAATTGAATCGCTCTGGTACCTTGATGTGTCATTATGCAGCTTAACACCTATGTATTTAAAATAACTTGATTTTATTGTTCCGTAAACTGCATTTCCGTATGTCTTGTCTGGTTTCTGGAGCCTGTGACATACTGATCTTTTTCACAACACAGTGTGAAGGAGGAAAAAAAAAGATTATGGTATTTTTAATTATAACACTTCAGGAAATCTGATGCTTGACTGTAGTAATTTGGGGTTTTTTGATGTGTGGTTGGTTTTTTTGGGTTTTTTTCTAACAGTTTATTTCTGGAATAGATTGTTTATCTTAGTTTTTTAAAACTATCTCATCTGTAGCAGTGAATACTAAAGTGAATACTATGCAGAATCCCTTTTTCTTAAAGCAATAGAAAACCTGAACGAGCTTCTGCAGGTATAAAAGCCAGCATGATTTTCCTGGATTCTATAGCCTCTTAAGTGTTTATAACCTTTATAAAACTATATAGATTCTCTAAAAGAATGGTGACATTCCAGTTGCTATTAAGAACTGTAGTTAGTGGCCTGTCATGGTTTAAGCAAGTCATGTTGAGATCTGTTCCCCATAATCCCTTGTTAGCCTGAATTTGGGGAAGGGGAGAGGGGAATCTTCTTTATGATTGCAGAAGCCCCAGATTTTGCTTCCGTTAACCATCAGTTTCAAACCCCCTAACTTCTAAACAAAGGACACAGTTCTTCCTGATGTCTGTGGATCTGTGTGCTGAACATGAGCTGTGTGCGCATTTCTAATATTCCCTGTATGGCTCCCTCACGTAGTCCTTTTTCCTCATTGCATCAGCAGCCCAAAGAAGCGCGGTCTGTGTTTCAGAGTGCAGTAGTAAACTCTGTCTAGAAAAAACCTGATTTTTTTGCAAGCTAAATTTGATCACATTTCATACATAGTAGAAACTGTGCTGAGTGTTTTCTCGCAGCAGCATAGGAGGGTGTCTGTAGAACTGGTAATGTTAGCAGGGGTTAATAGGAGTAGGGACCACTTGTCTTCCTGCCTGGGGGAAGTTAATCTCCAGAGCGTGATAGAGCTGCCTGCTTTTGCCTGTGAAAACTTTACAGAATGGTTGTGTTATATCTGCTGGTACAGCTGAAGTTCTTTGTCTGCTGGTTTTCTTCTTCCTTTGGTGCGGTCATTGAATCTTGCCTTCATATTGCTGTGTTACGAGAGCTAAACACTTCCAAACAGGTAGTAGAGCGAACATCTTCCTTTGGCTACAGATTGGAAGCTTTGTTTTTTGGGGTTTTTAATAACTTGTAAATAGCAAAAAAAAAAAAGCAGCAGTTCAACGGGTTATCTTTCTTTATAGTCTGCTTAGACTTCTTTGTCTGTGATTCCTCTGAATAGCCACTCTCAAAGTTACTTTGGAGCTACTAAATAAAAGAAATAGCTAAGATTTTAATGCCAAGGTAACGCATAGATATTATTTATAAAACAAAGGCATGTCTGTAAAGGATTGATCACAAATCTTATTGATGAGAAACTTGGCCATTTTCAACTCTGAACAAAAAGTTCTGGTGTTCTAGTCATTTGGCTCACTGCACTTCATAGTTAAACACCACCTACCTGATAACTGCTCTGCAGTCTCTTATTTTCAAGAGGAGCTGGGCTATCAAGTGCCAAGTGAAAAATAATTAAGACCTTTTCCTACCTGTACTTGAAATGAGAGAAAGCAGAACAAGATGTATCAGTAAAAGCTCTGTCGAGGGCTGCTTTCACATACTGACAGTGGGATAGAGATATTTACTTAGACTTTAAAATTTAAATCAGAATTTTTTCCAACTGTTGTTTTATTACATATATGTGATTTTTCTTTTTATCGTTTATCTCACTTTGTGAATTATTACATAACAAAAGAAAGCTAGAAGGCACTAAAATAAAGCTTGTTAACAGAAAAGATCCGTTGCCTTAATAGATTCGCTTTCTGTTCTGGAACTGAGAATGATATTTGTGGTGAAACGTTGATATCTTGATAAGTAGTAGTAATTATTGGTATATTGAGGAGGAGGAGGAAGAATTAGTAAAAATTAGGGTGCCTTGCTGCAAAGAAGTTCTATATAATAGAAAATTGCATCATTAAAGCTAGTTAAGAAATTAATCTGGAATAACTTGTAAAGCCTGTAAAGAGAAATTTAACATGTGACTTTTTTTAAACAACAGCTGAAGTCTGGGACAAGGAATTTGACCCTGTCATGGTAATACTCCGAACGGTTTACCGTAGAGATGTGCAGTCTGCAATGGACAGATACACAGCATTGTAAGTTGGATCATTTTTAGAGATGTGGCATCATGTGGTTGCTCATAGCCTGGTAATTTGTTTTTATTCTCCCTGTCTGGTAATGCTGATCATGTTACTGAGATTTTCAGGCCCCAGATTTGCCCTTGGGTAAATAGTTCATAAATTCAGAGGCAGTATCAGGGTTTTCATTAGCTTAGTCTGTTACTCTTCCATAAATGTTTGAAAATATATCCGAAGTGCCACAGACGAAGTAGTGAAAGTCATCACAGGTAAAACACTTAACACACTTAACCAAAAGTTAATGTTTAAAAATTAATTGCAAGTTACTTAAAGCAGCTTTGTCAGTTTTTATTTACTCTACATGTAGGTACATAGTAGGGACATTTAGGCACAGCATTAGTGTTCTGTGTTTTGAAATTATATTGAAGCCAGTATGGGTTTCTTCTGTGGATGAGCCCATGATGGAAACCATGAATTAATTAGATTCTGATTTAAATACAGGAAAAAACCCTTGTCGCACTTTTGAATTCTAGGAAGCAAAATTATTTGTTCTTATTTCTGTCCCTTAACATTCCATTCCTTACCGCATCTTACACTTAAAGGTTCTTATTTCCAATAATTAAATTTGGTTGTCTTATTTCACACCTTGGGAGTAGAAATCAAGTTTAAAAAACCCTTCTAATAAACTTGGTGAAATAATCCTCTGCCTCTGTGCTCATTCCATTAAGTTAAAGGGTCGCTATAAACTATGCTGTAAGCGATTTTGAGCAAAGTAATGTTGTATTAAATAATTGCACTGTCTGCTGCACTGAATTCCAGCTCATTATTAGAAACATGGGTCCATGTTGAGCTTTCCAGTTCACAGATATGGTAGCACTGGTACCATCAACTACAGCTAGTTATGTCTAGCACTTCCTAATGCTGCCTGTAATCCATTCCTCCTGATGTGAGGTTTCTGTGTTGGATGTGTGACTCACGTGGCTTTGGGTGAAGTGAAAAGTTTTCCATCTCTTCTATGTGCCTCTTAGAATGCAAATGGAATTCTTGAAGTCATAGCTGAAGTTCATAGCAGTAATTAAAAATTCATTAAACTTTATAAAGTTCATTTATTTATGAAGGTAGAGGTAATCCACAGAAAAATAAGATTGGATTCAGTTTGTGTATACATTCTTATTTTTGGAATGCTGCTTAAATAAATTAAACGGCTTAGAAATGCTCGTCAGTTCTGAAGTCAGTCTAAACAAAAAGAATGCAGAGTAATTACCTGTAACTGTGGCAGTTGTCTGCGTTGCTGCAGTGTTAAACGTAAGTCTCATCTGTTTCAACAGTTTAAAGCAAAGTGGCAAATTTCCTGGGAACCCATGGCCTCCTTACAAGAAGAGAACACCACTACATCCAAGTTACAAAGGTCTCATAAAGCTTTTACACTGTAAAACCCTGCACATAGTGCTGTTCACACTCCTTTACAAGGTACAGTCATAATTCTCTTTAAGTCCAGTATTTGATTTCCATTTTTTTAGAGCATGAGTTCTTAGAAGCATGTTTTTAATAGATTATTTACAGTTGTCAGGTACAAATTTATATAATGTTTTTATTTTGTTTTATTTTCTGAGTCTAGGAGGATGCTATTTCTATGCCATTTTCATTATTTCAGGGATGATTAATTCATATAGACATATGGTAAGTCAGCTGTCCAAGAGAATGAGCAGCCCTACTCTACTTGGAGGGAACACTATCTTAACCATTAGAGTTGCCACTGGAGATTGTGCTGTGATGGTTTCAGGGAGCGTGGTGGTGTTAGTGGTGTCCCTTTGGCTCCCGCTGCAGAGCTTCAAGGCATCAGCAGCTTGTTTGCAAATATGCAGCCTTGATTCCTTTAGACCCTTGATGGTAAATACGTCTCATAACTGCAGTTGATTCTGACATCACTTCGCAGATATGTTCTCACTTTTGATAGTGCTGTAGCACTTGTTTTTCGGGTCTAATTGATGCCTTTAGATTGTGTTTGGGTTTTGTCTTTCACAGTTGGCTGCCCTCTTTAAGAAAAAGGCATTCTTTTTGAAGCGTACATTCACCAGAAAATGGGACTTTGAATCTGTCTCTGTACTTGGGAAGTGCTTTCCAAGCAGTGAGCTGCAGAGGCAGATGACCAACTATATAAAAAGTGGTTTAGTTGAGTAGTGCTTTTCCTGGACAGACTTTCATTTTGTGCTCTTTAAGTGCTCCCAGCTCCCCTGAAGCTCTTGTTTTGTTTCACTGTTAAACCGTTGAATAGAAATATCCGCTGTTAAGTATAGTAATAACTGTGTGGTGTTCACAAAAAGCCATGCTTGTTCTCACGGAGCTGTTTCAGCTGGCTTTTTCTTCCTGATCAGTTGTCATGTAAGTTGTTGGTATAAGATTAAGATGAATGAAGACCTTAGATTTTAGCTGAATTCATTCAGTAGATTTCACCTTTATGACAGAAAAGGACCTTTTCTCAACAGCTTCGTAATGCTTACAAATGAATGATTTCAGTAAACTCTAGGTTTACTATCTGCAGTGCAATTTCAAAAATCTACTTTAAAAATATAAAACATACAAATTTGACTGTTTTACTTAGAATTCTTCCTTCTCCATAACACATTTGATGCTGTTATGGGTAAGACTGAATTTTGTGTGCAGAGACTATTGAATTAAGCTCTGCCTTTTGGAAGCTGAGTAGTAGAACATCTGATGGTTGGTCAGGGTTCCCATTGGTTGGTCAGACATGTAGTTCCTTATCTTGCTGAGACTTAACCCATGGCTGGTATTTCTCATGCTGAATGTCTGTTCTGGCATGAGTTTCCAAGACAGGGATGTATTTTGTCCTTGCTTCTTTCTCCCATGTTTTAAACGTTCTTTTATCAAGATTCTGGATCTGAATTTAGCCAGACTGTAGACGTTGTAGAGTTACGTTGTGTGTTCGTTCAGTGCCTGTTTATTTTATTTTGTTAACTGTTGAAGTCCCAAAAGAATCAGCCCCAGACTGGGCATGCCCCATAGCAGGGCTGACTCAACTTTGCCTGGAGTGGCAGTACCTTGTTTCGCAGGGATTTCTGTAATTTTGGCCAGAGGAGCTGCCTCGGCCCACTGCAGGGGGAAGAACGGGGCTGAGATGTGGCAGTACGTAGTGGAGTCTGGAGAAGGTACTGCACAGGAGACTTACAGGAAGGCTGCCGAAGAAGAGGAGAGCTTGAGATGATGTAGAAGATACAACGATATTTTGACGTGGAACAAAAATGAAGA